TTTTTACATTTTTTGGTTTTCTTTTTATCTTTTGGTTTATTTGAGCATCGGCCACACAGACCACAATAACACGTAAGTTTACTAGAGTCATTAGTACATTGATCAAGCAGACAAACAAAATGATTTCTCTCCAATAAGATGTGGGTGGTTGGCGGGTGCTCTGGTGTGGTTTGTTCCTTCTTCCCTACCAAATATCTATCGCCCTTATTAGAATATCAACTGTCTTTTCTGTATATATTATTTTTACTCTCTGGTCCCACCTCTAATCTTGGGCACTTACATGACCTATTTCTGCAGCAAGTGCAGTAAAACGCCTCGTGTGTCGTCAGTTAAATGTCCACGTATAATATTGGTTCGGACTCATCTAGGCTCTTAATGAAAAGAGGTGAAATTAACAAAGTGCGAAAATGTATAGTTAAACGCCCCCTTTCAATACTGTAAGGATAATTAAGAGTCGGGACCTCCGAATTTAAAGCCCATCTCTAATAGGACCTGGCAAGGTGTGGAAAACCGTAAAGCTACCCCCAAACAACCCATGTTCGGAACGCTCTGTCGGGGTTTCGAACCAGGACACTCACCTCGGTCGTTCAGTATGACCAGAGAGTTTACAGTAATACTACTGTAAACCCTCTCTGGTATGACGTGATACCAACAGAGCTGTCGCTGCGTTTTAACAGCAATATCGTGTCTTTTCAGTTTGGTGGGGGTGTTTTAGCCCAGGTAAAATGGCAGCTTGCAATGTGTACTGCTCACAAAGTTGGGATTGTTTCAAAATGCTATCAGGTCAACTGGGGTAATAATACAAATTGTAAAGCGCACAGATATTACTGTGAAGTGGACATTTGCGCTACACATGATATGCTATTTCTGAGGTGTGCTGATAAAATGAGGTACTTCTCGCAATCCACACAAGGAGATTATCAGATGAAAATTGACACTAGGGTTAGATTGATAGATTTTCAATCGATGCCATTTTCTTAAAATTTAACGTTTGTTTCCTATATTTTTTCTAATATATTGTACACTTTCCACCTATAAATTTGACGTTTATATTGCATTTGGGCAAAAATCCCGAGAAGCAACTCAATCTGTCAGCACACTTCACATTTAACTATTTATTTATTATTAATACAGCCACATTGAAGAACACCTTCGCCTGCCGCATCTTGCAATACAGAAGACCCCCCCCCCCCCCCCGTATCCCTTTTTCTACACACCCACCCCTCCTACCATCCCCTATAGGCTGATGCAATTCAACTATTTATTCCAGAGCTTGTTAATCTTTTTATAACCAGCGACCACTTCTGCCATCTTGAAGAGGCTAGAAACTTTGAACATCACAATGACAGGGGGAGAAACGAAAGAGACAAATTGGCTCCACTCTCTGCTTGCAGTGCATTGATAAACAGCACATAAAATGATTTGGACATCTCGCTACCTTAGACTTACAAAGTTCTATCTGACATTTTTGTCTGTTTTGAGTTACTACGACCATGAGGTCAGACACCAAATGTTCTATCTGCTCTATCAAAATCGTAAGATTATTCCGAGTGGTTATTAAGACATTCAAAGAATTGTGCATTCGAAAATGCTTGACATATTGTAACACTCTAAAATTGTTTACGTCAATTTTCTCAAAACTAGGTACTGGGCAGATAGTACTTTGTAGCCATCTGTCAAAACTACCTGCAGACAGTAAAGCAGAGAGAGCATACAACCAGAGATCAGATGGACAGAGAGGAAGAGGCAGGCCTAGGAACAGATGAATAGAGGGGGTCAGAGAAACATTCGACAAAACCAACACGACCGTACAATCCGTCCACACCGTAGGTCAACAGAAGTCGGAAGAGGTCAAAAGTAAGAGGCAAACTTTGGTATCACCTAAATGTACTTCCAGGCGGGACATTAAACAACACCAATCTCTACCAGAGGGATCCCCACAGCCCACAAAAAAGACCAAATCGTCCACTAGTGGGCCATATCGCCAAGGTTGGAAGGCAATGATATGTGAGGCATCGTGGTGGAATCAGACTCTCGTCAGTATTTGGGCATGTAGAGTTATTGGTATCATCTTAAAGCTTGTTCACTTATCTTTTTTTGGATGAAAAAAATATCCCTTTATCTTGAATACAAGTCGAGATATTTGCGAATGAAGGTGGTGGGGGTCACCTGTTTTCAGAGGAAAAATTAGTTTGAAAATGGCCGCCGAAGATTAGTTATTTCCTTAGCTTAAGAGTCCGTGGTAACTGAAAATTTACATTTTTTTAAACCTCTAATTATCGTTTTTCAGAAAAACCCACACAGAAATTAGTTCTTTAATGGACATGAAAGGTGTCGAGCAAAAAAGAAAAACAAATTTGATAAAAATTCACAAACCTGCGGAAAAATGCAAGTTTGTTCACTTTGATTATTTTGACGAGAGCGTGATTCCACCACGCTGCCTCACAAATAGCCTCTCAGTAAGCAGCCCAACACAGCAATGTAGATGGAAGCCCAAAGGAAGCTGGTAAATGAACATCACACTGTTTCTTATGGCGTGTGGTATGTAACATAGACAGATCGTTGATTCATTAACACGGTGTTGGTATATAATTGGTCACTTTTAAGCACTTAGGGGCTATCCCGAAAAAATGCTGCTTTGAAAAATCGAAGGAAAAGATTTCGGACCCTCGTTCAGTTTCTTTAAAAGACAAGGAGAGGGTTTTTTTTTTCTATAACCATACAAATATACACACCAATGAAACCAAACTTCTCCTATAGGTAGGGCAATGACCACTTTTGGTGCAGGTCAAAATTTCTGGAAACCCCCGAAATCTGGGTTAGCCCGCTTGTCCTTAAAAGCGACCAATGTATCTCTTTCCTCCCTTCGTCCACGTATCGCTCCCTTACACTATCTCTCTCTTTCTCTGTCTCTCTCTGTCTGTCTGCCTGTCTGTTTTTCTGTCTGTCTGTCTGTGTCTCTCTCTCTCTCTGTCTCTCTCTCTCTGTCTCTCTCTCTCTCTGTCTCTCTCTCTCTGTCTCTCTCTCTCTCTCTGTCTCTCTCTCTCTGTCTCTCTATGTCTCCTGGTCTCTAAGACCAATGTCTTCCCCCTCACACAAAGAGTTCAGTTTTGTTCAATTATACCTCTGCGCTAACACACTTATACCACAAACAACACAAATGAATCCAACTTTTTCCTTCTCAACGCTGAACTAATACGCTCAAAATATCTTTCTAAAAATGTACGACCAAATGAAGGACCGGTGATTTAAAAAAATGATCGTCGTGGAAGACAAGAAAGAAGCCATGATCACAGTCATAATAAGAAATAACTTAAATATATCTACACACAAGAACCCTCCAATGACGAGCTCCAATTCCAAGCGATAACAAAAAGCTAACTGTAAAAAGGGAAAACAACCCACACACTACAACCTGTAACCACAACACAACAGATCACAACTGTGTCCCCAGCAGCTGTCCCACTCCGTATACTGCCAAGACCGCTGCGATAGCTCCAGAAAATAAAATCGTTTTCTTCCAGGGAGATCTCAATAATATCCGTGACTACAATAGCAGTAGTTCTAGAGTACTTTCCTTTCTGGTTCCAACACTTCCCACTCGCTATAACAGGATACCTAAAAATGTGTTTTCCTGTTGACACATGTATGACACCTCCAAGAGGGTATTCCTATAACAACAGATCACAAATGAAATACGTACATGTTTTAAAATAACATCTCAAACCCCTGTAACAAATCTAAAACAACACTTCACTGCATGAACATCAGCCCAAATACTAAGAAAAACAACAACAAAACTCAGATCTAAAATACTTTTCAGAGTCCATCACAGCTCAAATCGCAGAAACAAATCTAAACCAACAGTATTTTTGTGTGAGAATATCCGCTCCTATAAAGCGAAAAAAAAAAAGAAAGAACAAAAAAAGAAGAAATCTCAAATACTTTACTGAGTCCGTCATATCTCAGACTGCTGGTGCAAATCTAAAACAATATGTGCTTTGTTGGAGCATCGCCTCACATGCACAACAAAAACAAACCCCAGATCTAAGATACTTTTCTGAGTCTGTCACATTCTAGACTGCAGAAGCAGCAGTTCGTTGTAGGAACGTCAATACATCTCAAACCGCAGTAACGATAAATGTAAACCAACAATACCATTCACTGTATGAGCGCCGGATCCCACACAGATAAAACGTTATCTAAATACGTTTCTGAGTCCATCACATCTCAGACCGAAATAACACCAGTTCTCTTGAGAAAAGTCACCTCCTTGTTCCAAAAACTGATCTAAAATACTTTCTTTGAGTCCATTTGCTCCCGTAACGAGTCTTTCTCGCCCCCCTCCCCCCTCCTCACACACACACTAGGACAAATGGTCCAGAATTCCTTTCCCCGCATCCCCCTACCTTTACGTCCCCTCTCTCTCTCTGTCTCTCTCTCTCTGTCTCTCT